TGCTGTTTGACCTCGCTTAAAGCTGTAAACATGCTTGTTTTGGGGCTGCCTTGAATCTGTCTTCATACTTCATGTGCAAATAATGCATGCTTGATGTAGCTACAAGTCAATTCATGTGCTTAATCTTGTATTTCGGGACCATTTCATGCATCGGGTGCCATATTCCTATGATTCGGGGCTGTTTTGGGTCATATTTTGATGCTGAAACTTGCATGTTTGTATGCCATTTTCCATGCCTTGCCATGTCTTGTTAGAGTGGCATTTCGTGCCTTAGGTTCGGTCCTCGGTTTGCGTGCATGCGTGCGCGCATCTCGAGTTGTCTCATTTTCATCGTATGGCCTCTTATGTGAGTGTGGCTGAGGTCCACTCATGTTGGTGTAAGCCCATATTGCATTGTGTATGCCATTTCATTTCATAGCATTGTGTATGATAGGCCGTATGTTAGAGCATTGTGTATGCCATGTTATCTCGTGCATCGTGTATGCCATTTCCTAGCATTGTGCATGATAGGTTGTATCTTAGTTGCATTTCATGATGTTTCGAGGCTCGCATTTTGTCAAATGTTGCGTTTTTCGGTAAACCGAGCAAGGACAAACTGGAAATGAATGAAAGAGAGGTGAAGTCTTTCAAAAATCTTTCAAAACATCTTGTTTAGAGGTTTGGGGTAGAAGAAAAGGGGAGAGGAAAGAAGAAAACTAGTTTGGGAGAAGTTTGGCATGAATCCGGGTAGAATCGAAACTGAGTAGTCTTTACTAAAAGAGGCATAACTTTTTGCACAGTTGGAATTTTGAAGCGAGGCTTCCACCATTGGAAATAATACTTCCAGGGCTACAATTTAGGCTTAATAATGACCTCCAAAGGAGTCTAGATGAAGGAGTTCTGTCCGGTTGAAGTCGGGCCCAAAAAAACAGATTTTTCTGGCCAACCAGAGGTAGAGGATGCTGGCCATAAATGGGATTTTTTGGCCATGTGCCGGCCATGAATGGCCTATGCCGACCCCCTGCCGTCCAATGGTGATCCATGCCGGCCAACAATGATGAAGTGTCGGCCATCAATGAAGTAGTGCCGGCCATTGATGCAAAAAGGCAATTATTTATTTGGACTGTATATTTATTCGGACCCTCTGCGCGAGGGCACAACTGTAATAAGTGTGCGTGTGTGTGTTGTATGTCTTCCAACCCCACGTCTTTCTCCCTTTTATTTACCAGCTTATGATGATTAGATTAGGGCATTTTTCAATTAGCATACAGTATGACAGCATGTTTACATTCATTCATCTGTTTTGCATGCACCAGGCTTGGCGCATCATACTAACTGCATTGCATTTCAATTTCAAAGTTGAATACTTGTTAGCTGTTGCATTTCATATGCCATGTTTAGAATAGCCGAGCCTGCTATAGTTGCATTTTTGTATGTGTTGCATTAGGCATCTCCATATAATTAGGATCATGCATGGATTTCTAATTAGCTTTTGTTTTGGCTTGGAGTATTCGGTGAGTTTTATGCTTTAGCATCCTTGCATGCGTGTAAGTGACTGTCATAAATAGCATGCTTACCATGAGGCTATTTGCTTATGTGATATAACTGCCTGAATGCCTGTGGGTGAAGGTTGGGTTATTTGGATTGGAACAAATCATCAACTGTGAGTTTTAAGCCCACTAGATAGTGGCAAAACCATCTTTTCTTAAGCCTACATGAGGGTGGCAAAATTTGCATTTTAAGCCTACTTGCGAGTAGCAAACCATCTTTCAAATAAACAAACATGAAATGTTTTGTTCCAATTCAGGCGATCCAGTCTGTTCTTGTATGCTGTGCGCATCACATAGTAAATCTAGGCTAATAACCGGGATAAGAACACACAATGTTTTCAAAACTAGATATCATGGTTAGTAGAGGCCGATCTTTGATCGGGTGAGCGGGGGTGCTCACGAAGTGACCTTTCCCAATCGTATCCAAGTTCCCGAGCCGAGGCAACTTTGGTGATGCCGGACACGTGGCCTTAGGCAAACGAGTCAGGGTTTCCTAAATTTCCCCCAAAATAAAATATTTAGGTGGCGACTTTGTATCTGGCAAAGCAGTCCATGTTTGACACTTCTTTCAAAAAACCTGTTTTCTCAAAACGATTTGCCGGATTTGGACTCTTTGGTTCAGACTTAGAACCGTGACAATTTGAGGGTCCTGAGCTGTAGTGACCCCAAAATGAACAGAACGGGAACTCACCCTCCCGGGGCGTTCGGGGACGTCTACAGCTAGTATTGACATCAACAATTCTTCATATTCCTAGGCCTCCAAGACTTGTACTTTTTGTTACTTCTGCCCACTTCACCATATGAATTTTCTTCTTCAATTCAGTGCCTCTCAATAGGAAGGAAGCTTCAATTTTCTCTAGCTCTTTGGTCACCCCCAAAGGCATTCTGAACAGGGACAGGTAATAAAGAGAAAGGTTGGATACCACTGATTTGATTAAGATGAGTCTACCTGCAAAGGATAGGAGCCTTCTCTTCTAGCCTGCTAATCTTGATTTGAGTTTTTCTACGGCAGGTTTCCAGGTGGACTTATTCCCAGGGTTTGCACCTAGGGGCAAACTTAAGAATGCTAGAGGCAGGCCTTGCACTTTGCAATTAAGGAGGTCAGCCATGGCTGACTATCCACAACTTCATTGGCATTAAGAACACCATCCAAAATATTCCTTCCTCCAAGAAAAGCAGATTAAGTAACTCTGATTACTTTAGGAAGAACTTTTTTCAGTCTATGGGCTAGGACTTTTGAGAGAATCTTATAAACAAAGCCCACCAAACTAATAGGTCTATAGTCCCCTAATCCCACAGGATTTTCGTTTTTGGCAATAAGTGTGATGAAGGAACTATTAAGTCCATAAGCAAGTCTGCCGTGGGTGTGGAAGTCTGCCATGAACATGAGAACCTCATTTTTCATAACCTTCCAAAATTTCTGAAAAACATAGCAGATTGAAGCCATCTGAGCCTGGAGCTTTATTGCCATTGCACTCTTTTACTGCTGCCTTAATTTCAGCTTCAGAGAACTCAATTTCTAACTCCTAGAAAGAGTGACTCTCTACCACTGATTTGAAGACACCACCTAAAGATGGCCTTTTAGCTCAATCTTTTGTGAACTGTTTTTTAAAATGTAGAAGGACCTCATGCTTGATTTTTACAAGGTCTTCATGAGTAATACCATTAACAGATATAGAATTGATGACGGTTCTGTTTTGTTTACAACTGGCCATTACATGGAAGAACCTAGTGTTTTTGTTCCCTTTAAGTGTCCAGTTAACTCTGGATTTCTGCTGCCACATCCATTCCATCATTCTGCTTAGTTTCCATACTTCACCTTTCATCACTCTCCTGCTCTCTCTTTCTCCTACTTTCTTTTTCTGATTCTACCAGTGGTCTGACTGCAGCAGTGAGATCCAACACTCTGGATTTCTATAAAATAAATGTTGTGTAGAGAGCCCCGAAAAACACTTAATCACACCAAGATAGTTGATAGTTTTGAATATGGAGTAGAAGAATCATAAAAATTCAAGAGAGAGAAATAGCTACAAACTAACAGGATATCAAGATTTACGTGGTTCAGCTTAAGCCTACATCTACAAGCATTCACAAAGAGAAAGATTCTACTAACAAATATAACAATGTCCTGAAGAGTTACAATAGTGACAAAATAATGGCCCCAAATAACTAAACTCACCAAGTCCAAATACAAGTTTTATCACTAACCCAAATTCTTTCTACACAAATCTTACGAAACTAAAATTTCAATCAAAGACACCAAGTGACCAGATGCTATATCAAATTTCGCCTACGAACAAAATCCCCATAGAGGGCTCCACAGAACTTAAAAGTTGTATGAATGAAACTAAAAAGTTCAATTGAATGGATGAAAGTCTCTACATATTTATAGCCAAAGAATTTTTTATAAAGTAAAATAGGTTTCCTTCAATACAAAACCAACTAGGAAATATTAAATCTAAAACTTTAGAAAGTCCAAACTAAGTCAAATAGGTCTCTCACAAATCTAAACCAGTATTAGAGTTAAAACCAAATTAATGTTTAACTATTCACATATCCTATTTCAATTAACAACTAGAATACCAAATTCAAATCATATTGGGAATAGACATTAAGCTAATAATCTAACAATAAAAACTTTTGAATCACTAAAATGAGTTCTCAAATTCTCATTTAGATCCAATAGAACCTCTCCAATTAAATTATCAACAGGAGATAATCCAATCCATTCTACAACTGAGAATAAGTTTCCGATCTTTGCAGAGCTAATAAACAACATCAGCAAAGATCAAATCAAAAAGAAAAAAAAAAAATGCCAAGTAACCAGCAAGAGGAGCACCACACTGACCCCAAGTCATCTCAATTAAAGAAAACAAAAAAATGATGGTGCTTGTAATTGTGGTGACAGATTGATGGTAGTGATAATGGTAGTGTATGGCAATGATGATGATTGAGTGATGGTGCTGGGGTGAAGTTATTCGTTGGTCTTGGGATATCTTTATAGAGGGAGTAGGATTCATTAATTTTTGTCAAGTAATTAAAAAATATAAAAAACATAATAAATTACAATTAATGAAAAATATAATCACATAATACATCAGGAGCAACCAATAATTTTGGTGCGGGTGGTGCCAACGTTGTTTTGCTGTAAGCGGACCAAGGGTTGTGTCTATTAGCAGGAGCCATTGTCACGTCAGTGGTGTTTTTTGATAAGCACACCACAGAGCTGATTTGTTTTTTTTTTTTTTGTGGGATACTACAAAGTGACATCAGTTTATATTTCACTGTTCTGATCACATGAAGCATTATCCATCAAGCAATAAAATAGGGCTTTTTTGTTTGAGTGGTCAATAATTAATCATCTCATCTCATCCCCATCCCCATCCCCATCCCCATCCCCTTTGGTTCTATGATGTACTTGGTTCTATGATGTACTTTGTGTTGAATAACCAATCAATTAATCAAAGTGAATATTAAAACTATATTATTTTATTCAGTATGTGTTGCCAAAATCAATCTAGGTTAAGCATGGAATCCCTGTTCTAGGACTGATTCACACTGTTTGGTTCTCGGGAAACAATCACAGACCTCACAGTGAAATATATATAATGATTTTATGGAGAGAGAAAAACCTAAAGTTTTGGCCAAATGAATTGATCTCTGGCACCACAAATCCACCATCCAACACCAATTCATTTTCATTGTTTGGGATCTTCTGTTCCTCATGTTCCTCATGAGCCTCAACTCCTGTTTTAAAAAATAAAAAATATATTTAAAAAATAATATAATTAATTAATTAATTAATTGCCTATTAATAATAACTAATGAAAAATCTAAAAACCAATCCCTCATAAAATTTAAAAGAAAAAGACAGAGAGAGAGAGAGAGAATATAGAGGAAAAGACAATAATGACCAACAAAGGAAATACTAATCTCCACTTTTTTCTTTTCTTTTTTTTTTTTTCAAGGAAAAGGGTTGCAGGAACTGGGTATGAAATAAATAATTTGAATAATTTAAGCTCAAATTCAAAGTACAGATCTGTTTGAAATAGGCAAAAAGGGAACAGATCTGATTGTTTTCATGGTTTTTTAAAAATAAAAAAATAAAAAATAAATGGAAAGAACTGGTGAACCAAAAAATAAAATAGAGATGAAATAATAAAAAAAAGAAATAAAAAAAGAAAATCACCAAAATCAAGTTGATCAATGAGGATAGTCATCCTGAATCAAAACCCAAATTCAAAAATCTCACAAACTCAACTAAAAAAGAGAGAAAATCAACAAGTCTTCTTCTATGGGGTGGTGACATTGTTGTGGAGGATTTTTGGTATTTATAATGACCGGACAGTCCTTCCCTGAGAATTCAGAGCTTCCGAGTCCTTCCCTGAAAACTTCTTTCTATCCTTCTTTGAAATTACTTATATTATATACATACAATAACACATAGAAAGAAAAAAATAATACTAATAATATTAAAATTAATACTGTGAGTGGATATAGACATATACATGGATACACACAAATAAAAGAGAGGTATTAGAGAGAGAGTTGGGTTGGAACACAGCATTGCCATGCAAATGCAAGTTGTCATTGAGAGAGAAACTCTCTCTCTCTCTCTCTTGCAAGTAATTATCCTTTTTCCTAAAACAATAATTATCCAAAAAATTATCCATTTAGAGATTTTAAATATAATCCATGTTTTACAAATTTTAAATTTACACTATCCATTTTATTCCTATTTCCTATTAGTTTTGTGCTAAATAATTAGGGCTAAATGTTTATATGATTCAAAAAAAAATTA